ACAGTTTATAATTTCTCAGTGACTCCATGAAGATTCTGCATATGCAAAGAATCAGGAGAAAATCAGAAACCAGAAGGAGGTTAGAAATATAATTTAAAAGAACTTGGTTGTTTTAACACAACATGAACTTCAAAATTCTCACACCATCTAAGGCATTGTGGGACTGAAGATTTTTTCCCTCCACTTATGGTGTCAACTTGTCCATAAATTTCAAGAGACAGTTGCAATGGATTTTCTAAAGATTGAACCATGAAGTTCACTGAGACTTATAGACATATAGACATGTTCCTCCCCTCCTTCCAAACACTAGGCTGGGGACTTGTGTGCTCTATGCTAAGACATTATGAAACTTGTTATTCTCATATAACTCACGCCTCGAATGAAAAATGTACTGCTCTTCATTCAGGTCAGAATTCTTTCTCTTAAGAACTTACAAGTTGACTATGGAGTTTTAAGGCGATTTCAAGTGAACTGTTCATAAGCCAGATTTCATAACACAAGGAAAATGAAGCCTACCAAAAAAAAAAGGAGCTATGGGTGCTTTTCAAACTTTCTGTTAGGTATTGTGAACAGCAAAGGTTTCATTCGTCATCAGATCATCTTCAAGAATAATCTTAAATCAAGTCTATAATTGGAGGAAATAATGATGGCAGACTTACACTCTTGGAAACCATGCTGCCTGACCTAGCTATGAAACTAAATCAACCTTCTTAATAGATGTTTACCTACATGGCTTGATCTCTGTCTCTCTCTCTCTCTGTCTCTCTCTCTCTCTCTCTCTCTCTCTCTCTCTCTCTCTCTCTTTCAAGTGCCACCATTGGAAAGCAAGGCACCTGGCCCATCTCTTTTTTCCTTTACATGATAGGATTCATATGTGATAAATTGTTGTGAACATGGTAAAATTAAAATTCTACTCAAAATGGATCCAGAAAGCAAAGAGGAAAGACCTCACTCCTTTTAGCTGGAACACATTCCAGTCATGCTCATAAGATACTGGCTTCATGTACATCAAAGCAACTCAAAGAAAGGCAGTCGTCAGAAAAGAAAGCTGGAGGCATCATCCATGTGCAACTCTGCACAGCCACAAGTATTCAAACCACAAGATCTATTCTCTCCCAGTACACCTGTTCTATCAAATTGCAAAGGTGGATGGCAGAGACAGAACTGAAGACGTTTCAAGGTTCAGTGTCTCCTGGATGCTTCCAGGCAGAAGCACCACACTGTTGCTTGGGCAAGAAAAAGCACATTTATGACAAGCCTACCTTCATCCCAAGCACCTTCTGCTGAATGCTATCCCAGAGAACTCCGACCATATTTTTGTGCACCCTTGCACCCCTCCCCCACATGTACACCAAGCTCCCTCACCCAAAAGACATCTACCTGTGGTTAGGATGTGACTTTCTTTCTTGACCTGCATGATGCCCCTTCAATTGCATCAGCCTTATGATCTCTTCCTTGTTCCCAAGTTCTAAGACTGCTCAGGCTGAGCCTTCCCATAGATGATTTATTGGCCTCTTTGGGAAGGTATTTTTCTTCAAGGATCATGTCATTTGCAAAGCATGTGGCAGAAAGGAGCTTTGTTAAAGATGGTGATCTAAATTGTATTAGGTTTTGCTTTGGCAAGGACACCAGATGGATGCCTTTATGATGAAGTGGGTCTCCTCCAGCCTTTTCTTTTATGCAGGTCTCCAACAGGTGTTTCCTCTAAGGCAGATCTGTTTTCCATAACATCAGAAAGAAGAAAGATGTTGTCTGTGACAGCTTGTATGCATAGGTCAGGCTTTTATTATGATAGAAAAATGTATAGTGATTGATACGCAATTCCAAGTCAAGTAAAAGTGTGCTTGGGAGAAGATCACCTTCCATTTGCCAAAAGGGCATTTCATTACTGGACCAAGGACTCTACATTCATTATGGATTTGAGGAGGAGGCAAAAGAAGGGGGAATAGGAGAAAGCTGAAGAAAGTGACTAAAAGGAGACTAGTAGCTGTCACTACATACTTGCACACTGAGGGCAGAGAGCAGGAAGCCCCCTTCCTAAAGGTAAGATAGCAATTTCCAAAGTGTCCACAGAAGACAGTCCCCACCAACTCAGGTGCATTATGTATATTATGTAAACATGTTTTGAGAACTCTGAGCAACAGTGTCTAAGAAGCTACTCTTGGAGAGAAAGAGGATTCTTTGAATGAGTAACACTGCCCTTTCTCCAAATCCTCAATAAAAATCAAAGCCAGACACAGGTCTTTGGTATGTCTCCCGGTGAGAGTCTTTACAAGCTTGGCATAAAGCCACCACCATGGTTCTGCTAGTACCACTGAGAAAGCCTCTGGGGCTTTTAGAATTCAGTGTAGGGGGCTTATGAATTTTGGAGATTAAAACCACAAAAACGCATGTAAATTTGAAAGAACAAGGTAATCCATTTCAGTGAAGCTGATCTTGAGATTAATATTACAACATCTCTGACTAGTACAATGACTAGAACCCTCAAAACCCACTAATCTTAAGTGCAGTGGCAGACAAGGTTTTGGCCAGTCTCCTTAGTAGTCCATTACCCTCTCTGCTTTTCCAAACCTTTTTCCACTAACCCCTCTCCACACTCAGACTCTCTGCCCAGGTCCTTTCTGTATCCCATCACTTGAGGTCTGGTAGTTCAATCTAACTAAGTTTGAGTAAGTTCTTCTACCTGAAAAATTATGATGTAAGAGAGCAATTTAGAAATTAACCTGGATGAGGAAAGCAAAATCACTTGTCATGATATAGGAGTTTTGGATCGTTGGGCCAGGCATTGAACAACAAGCTATTTTAATTCACAGATTTAATTGACTTCTTCCAGGATATATAATAAAGTCTCACACAGGAGGGAGACATCAGAGTGATTACCAGGGCAAAATCTATAGCATAACACAGCACAGAATGTCCAAAAAGGCTTTTCAGGAGATAGTAACAAATATTGTTTAGAGGTAATTCATCAGTATGTATGTAAACAAGTAAACAGTAAGAGGTTTTGTGGTTAGGTAAGTTTGTGAAACACTGCATTATACATTTTTTAAAAGAATTTCTTTATTGCATGACTTTTGGGGGCTTTTATATGCTAAAGTGCTGTGGGAATCTCAGTGAAGTCAAAAAAGTTTGACTACAGAAAACAATTCATCAGGACTTCTCCACTTACTGATGTGCAATGGAACCTAATTGGAGGAGTAAGGTATTTGCAATAGTGTAGAATGGATGTACACTATGGTAACAAGCATGGACTCTCAGTGGCTTAGCATAATGAAGTTTTATACCTCATTATGTTACTTGTCCAACACAGATCAGCAGGACAAAGGTGTTCTGGCCCTCACCATGTACCCAGGCTGCCCCTCTCTATAGCAACTTGGGAAAGAATCTGAAAAGTCACACAAAAGGGGGCTTTTCACTACCTCAGCTATCAACTCTCACATTTTGTTGGAGAGAACTGGTCATGTGGCTCTACTTAACTGTCCATATGCTCAGGAAGGGAAGGAGAGTTGAATTTTGTGAATACAAGCAACCCCAACCTCAGGATTATGTTCACATGCCAGCTTTAAAATGTGTTAGGTCTTTTGTTTTGTCCATAAAATAAAGGGGAAGAGGGTATCTTTACAGTGTCTGGCAGAAATGAAAATGTTCTCCAAATACTTCAATTTTTTCTTATGCTCCACATCCTCCTTAAAGTTAGCAAGAGTTCACGCGACTGAATCTGGTTAATGAGATAGGCTGTGTGCCACTTTGGGCAAAGTCAGTTAAAAGTCTAGGTTTGGTTATCCAGTTCCTTCCTTTTCCCCTGCACTAAGTGGGGAGCATGTCCCAGATATTGTGGCCATAAGATGGGAGCCCCTGTTTCCCGCAGGATCTGAGGGGCTGTATGGAGCACAGGTACCTGTTCACCTGAATAAAATATATAGCAGGGTGACAAATAACCTGTGTTGGGTTAGGCCCCTGGAGTTATGAGGTTATTTTTTTGCAGCCAAGTCCTAGTTTCTCCTGACTTATCTAGGGCCTTTCGTACCTTAAATTTTCTTTGATTCTAGAAGGGTTCCCTCTGTTCTCTATAAAGTAAATATACATTCCTTAGAATTTGAGTAGAATTTTTCCAAAACATAATCTAACCCTTTTCATGGTTGAATATTTTGCAAAGCAAGATTGTGCCTAACTGTAGTGTGGGGCTGTATGTGGAAGGCTTCACCAAGATTTGATCAGAACTAAGCAAAGCCTGGTCAAGTGCAGACCAATGACAGAAGTTGCAAAATGCATGTAATAAACAAGGAGGCTTCAGTAGGGACCTGTGAGGGAAAAAAATACAGTAAGAGCAGAAGATAGGCTAAAGGAAAACAGCCTAAGGAAAGAGAGGCCACTCATGATTGGATGTCCCTCAGCCTTTTACTTTTTATTTTTACACCTTTTTTTGAGATCAGCTGCCCAGACCGCCTCAGCCTCCAGGGCACTGGGATTACAGTTGTGTACCACCATGCCTGGCTCTCCCATGGCCTTTTAAATTCTAGATTGAGGTGTCCAAAATGCTGCTTATCTGGCTGGTGGAATGGTTCAAGTGGTAGAGCACCTGCTTAGTAAGCATGAGGCCCTGAGTTCAAAGCCCAGTACAAAACAAACAAACAAACAAAACCCTGCTCATGATTTCTGATAAGCAATAGTAACATTTGTGATAGTAGCAAAATTAAGGGTTGAAATAAGATCCTGCCAGGCATGTATAATCTAAGGAGAAAAGAGCCTGACTGTGGTTTTCTTGTCCAAAATGTCTGTCTTCAGCTATGAAGATGTCTTCAGCTGTGATTTAATTTGGACATTCCAGTCCTGGTACCACTGGAGCATGAGCCTTTATTCTGGTGTCTCAGGCTTGCCGGCATTCTCACCTTACATTGATCTCCACTTTTTGCTCAGGGCCCTCATGAGTTTTCCATCCTGGCTTTATTACACTGGAGCCCCAAATATTCTCAGGCTAACCATCCATGCTCTCTGTTTAGGAATTTGCAGTATGATACGACACAAGACGCCGACCAGCTTGATAGCAGTGGCATGTTTCACTGGTGCAAGTCAACCCCTTTGGACAAGGTGATTCTGGTAGGTCATCATGCAGCCAAGTTCTAATGAGCTAAAGCATCTCTCAGGGTAAAGGACGCCCTTCTTCTAATCACAAACAGCTGCCTGTTCTCTTTGTAAACTGTGAATTTGGAAGGAAAAACATACACCTCACCAGCCGTGTGAATAACATACCTTACAACCCATGCGGTATCCAACAGAGAGTATGGCTGATATTCAGAACACTTAGATGTTTTTGACTGTTACGTCCTTCTTTTAGCAGTTTGATAAGTCAACTATTTAGAATAATGCTCTCCTGAAACTTTGAGTTGTTCTAGTAAATGTAACTAATCTAAACACACCAAGGAAACCTATTTGTAAGGACTCTGGGTCATTCCTTTGTTTAAAAATAAATAAACATTTCCCTAATTTATTAAGCTTAAAATGTAAATGTTCTATAATTTTTTTTTCTTAAAGCTGGCTATACAAACATTGAACACATTAGCAAAAACTTTATCTCTCAAGTGCTTTTCACCCCAGCCCCAGGAATCCTGGGTGAATCCTTACAGATATAGTTCTGCTCCTCACTCCCTACTGCCGAGGAAACAAATTAACTCAGCTTATTAAAACGCCAACAGCTAAGATGTAAAAAGCCTTGTATCCTAATCCAGGCTCTGATACCTGCTTTCTGGATTCCCATCTATTCTTATTTTCTGGAGTTAAACACTGAAGAATAATGTCAGCGGTTTTTCTTACAAGAGTAGCTGGTAAATTTGACCAATAATAATGATTGCTCACATGCGGTATGAACCCTATATAATTTTCTCATCTATGACTAGTTGATAATTATAAATATTTTCTTGCTTTCCAAAAGCAGTTTAGTTCACTTTTTCTATTAGACATGCACACGCATACATACACGCAGAGCACACACCACCTTGTGTCTTAATGCCAGGGTCCTGACAGGAGAGTTCCAATTTTTGTAAAACCATGATCAATCATTTGATCAGAAACAAAATAGTCAGAACTGTCATATCAACTGGAAGACTATTAGTATTGCTGAAAGTCACCATTTTAGCAATTATGTCTTACTGTAAACTACACAAAATAAATATCTGTTGAGCAGGAAGCCAAATATGTTTTCAGTGGGTGGAAAATCTTTAGAAACCTTGGGAAGCTGGGTGCAGACTGAGCCACCCAAGAGACCAAGAAAGGGAAGTAACAAAGGTTTTATTAACTGAATTTGTTAAGCACACAGACAAGTTACCATGATAGTTATTTCCTTTATGATGCTTGATATGGAATATGGTCAGTGCAACAACTGAGCTGTTTATTAAGTTTAGAAGGCCTTCTTAGTTTTAGAATTGCTAAGGGTTTTTGAAACTTGTTTCCCTCGAGGAGAAATATCCTGATTGGAAAACTCAGTCTTTAAACTTGGAGAAGGTTCTCCACAAGCCTTGCAGAGGACCAACTGGAAGTATTCAATTTAATTTACTTTGAACAAATAGCACATCTTCCTCCCCCACCCCAAAGTCACCATCTTCCTTAATAGGGAGACAGTTTTTGCCACAGTTTGTTGGAGAAATTGCCTCTTTAGCTTTGTCTATAAATGCACTGTTCCATGTATCTTGCTGCTAAATGTTCAGTTCTCCTCAGAAAAGCAATTGTTGGACTTCAGGCATGTTACATTAAATACCCTTAGAGGCGTCATTATTCAAGTTTAAACTAATCAGATTAACTGGAGACAATTATTTAATAGATTTGGTTAAGATTCACATTGCTCTCTAGGAAGTTCTCCAGACAAGTAGCTTTATTTCCGTTCACAAGGAGATTCTCTTAGAAAGAGGGTATTTCCCAGTGCTGGCTAATTTGATCAACTCTAATGGTGGAGATGTCAGATGTTACTTATTTATCCTGTTGGATTTTATCAAGCCCTGCTTTGTAGAAGCTTGTCAGCAAAGGACTGACATAAAGAAGAGTGATAAACCTACTTGAAATATGCTGAATCTTTGTGTGCTTAGGAATGTAGAACACTCACATATGAAATTTAAGTACATTTAACTTACTCCCTACCAGCTTCCAATGTTCTCCTTTCACTAAGACTCAGGTTTAATTAATAATTATTGAACAACTGTTCGCAAGTCAAGCATGATACTTTCAAAATGTTATTTAATTCTCACAACAAAATTTAACATTGCCTTCTTTCAAAATTTTAAACGTAAAGAAATTGAGGTCAGAGAGGTTAAAGTAATTTAACCTCTAGCCAGAATACAAAGCCAAGATTCCTGGCTCCACATCCAATGCTGTTTCTGTTACTGTGACTGTCATAGAGGAGAGGCCCATTCCTTGAAATACACCAGACACATTTTTCAGTTATCTTTATTGTTTTTATTGATTGTGTGTGGAACGTAATTTAAATATATCTCTTACATCTTATTTTATTTCCAACTTGGAAATATGCAGATGATTTTAACAATTGGCAGTGCTTCTTATAGCATGAGACATAGTCAAATGTTTGAAATCAAGTAGAACTTTCATAACCTTCCTTTTTCTTTTGTGTACTTTGTATAATGAATTTCCTTGATTTGGGAGGGATTTTTTTCAAATCAGTTCAGTGTATTAAGTTGAATGTATTCAACCATTCTTGATGGACAAAAAGGCTAGTTTGTATGGTTCCAACAACTATGAACACCCACCGAATACTGCAGCTTATTGTACAATTAATGTAATTTTGGCAGCTCTCTAGAAGACAGAAGTTTAGCAATGGAATTTGGAATGCCTCAGTTTTTCACTGACTTACAGTATAGCACACAGGACCCTAAAAGCATAATAAAAGTCAAGAAACATTTCCCCCATTTGATTCAATACTACCACATCTTGAGTCATTCTTCACATGCTGAGTTGAGTTTTAATTGATTCATTCCAGGATAACAGAAACTAAAGAAAAAAGGACGAAAGTTATATTTGCACCACGTATGTATAAGCTCCATTTTTAAGTGATTTGAAAACTTCTATTTGCCTTATGAGAGTACCACTCTTGATGTACCTAAAAGAGTCAGGGTGAGGAGGAGTCTTCTTTGAAGGACTCCGTCTTGTTTATAAACATGATTCGATTCTGGTTTATCCTCAGAAACGTACTGACAAGTCAAAACACGAGTTTCGGAACCACATTGTAGCATGTGTGTTTGGAGATGCCCACTCAACCCTGATGGGACTCCGGAATTTTGTGATGCCCTTGAGAGCTAGCAACTACACCCGGCAGGAGCTGAAGGACATTGTGTTCATTGGGTCTCTGGATTACCTTCAGAGAGAATGGCGATTTCTCCGGAATTTTCCCCAGATATACATTATGCCTGTAAGTATCACACAGAATACTGAATTTTATAATAGTAATAGTGCTAGAAATTAAAAAATAGTAGTAGTGTGCAGTTACATAGAGCATGCTGGGTACACCATTCTAAACATTGTGTGTTTATATTAATTCATTTAACCTTCAAAATAACTCTAAGGGATAAATATCACAGAAGTTGAACCTTAGGCATGGACACAATAAATAACTTGCCCAAGATAGCATAGCAAGTTAGTGGCAAATGCAGGATTTAAATCCAGACACTGTGGCTATTGAGTTTATGCCCAAACCACCATGTTTTATGGTCTTTACACAAATGAGAGTTTCTCTGCACCTCTGAATCCGATTTAAATTTACTATTACAAATTTACCATTAGCTAAACCTAAGCCAGCCTTTGTGCTCTAACTTTCTTGTCTTTTTTTGGAGACATCTTGTATGGAATATATAGTGACGTACGATCCCTCATAGAGAGGGGTTCATGTCGTGCTATATAGCTTTATTTCCCCTCTCAAGGAGAAGAAGAAGAGTCAGGCTTACAACCTGGCAAAATGGATCCTCTAGGGTTTAAATGTCCTTTCCAATAGGAAAAGGGGACCAAGAACTAGAGAAAAGGTTAGATCAAGAAGAATTAACCTAGAAGGTAACACACATGCACAGGAAATTAATATGAGTCAACTCCCTGTATAGCTATTCTTATCTCAACCAGCAAAAACCCTTGTTCCTTCCTATTGTTGCTTATACTCTCTCTACAACAAAATTAGAAATAAGGGCAAAATAGTTTCTGCTGGGTATCGAGGGGGTGGGGGGGAGAGGGAGGGGGCGGAGTGGGTGGTAAGGGAGGGAGTGAGGGCAGGGGGGAGAAATGACCCAAGCCTTGTATGCACATATGAATAATAAAACAATAAAATAAAATAAAAAAACCAAAACTCACACTGAGATTTAATTGCCACTATAACAGTGTTGAGAGATGGGATCTTAAAGAAGTGATTGGGTCATGAGGGCACTGTCCCCATGAATGAATCAATGCTGTTATGGTGACATTGGGGTTAGTTATTGTGGGAGGAGGTTCCTGTTAAAAAATGAGGTTTAGCTTTATCCTTTTACCTACGTGCATACTCTTACCATGTGGTACCCTCCACCATGTTATGATGCAGCAAGAAAGTCCTCATCAGATGCAACCCTTCGATCTCAGACTTCCTAGACTCCGGAACTATGATAAATAAATTTGCTTCTTTATAAATTATCCAGTCTAATGTACTGAGTTATAGCAGCAGAAAAATGGGCTAAGACAGGACCTCCTATGTGTATATAGTATTGTGGTTGCAAATTACATTTGTATTTAACTTTTATAGGTCTTTATTCCAACTATGTTAACATTTCCTAGATAAAAAGCCCATTACGTGCATTGTGAGATATATGAAAGCATCTGGATTTTTACAAAATAATGCTGGTGTTATGTAAGGAATATTTTTCAAACTTCAAGATTGATTCTTTCAAGAAGCAAATTGAATTTGCCTTTTTCAAAAGCTACCATAAAGTTCCCTATTTCAATACCCTTGCTTCAGAACATACAAAGGAAGAAAATGACTGGAAGTCTCCAGATTCAACTAATGTTAGGAATTACCAATATTAGACCCCAGGCTTCCTGAAGGTGGGACCAGATTCATCCCTATCTATCCACCAAAGGAAAGAAGGAAGTGCCATGTTACTAGTTTATCTGCAGAGTATAAGTAAGGAAGACTAGTAGCAATATTGTGAGGATGAAAAATTAGTCTTTAGCTCCATAGCCTCTTCTTTCTCTGAATTTCTTGTTGTGACTTCTCTGAATTACCCTTATTTTATCTCTGGATTTAAGTCCTCCTTTTGCCATTTGCATGCTGTGTAATCTTGGGAAAGTTACTGTTTCTATGTTACTACTTCTGGGTTTCTCTTACTCTATTTCTCTTCTCCCACTTGAGTCATCAAAATGGATTATGCTCCTCCCACCCTACATTCCTTGTTCGCTGGGAAGGGTCTGGGAAATCTATTCACAAGAAGATATTAATGGTTGATAAGGAAAAATGTATCAGGTGTTAGATAACTAAGTTTAAAAATGAAGCTAGTAGCACAGGTTTATAATCCCAGCACTTAGGAGACAGAGACAGGAAGATGACCAAGTTTGAGGCCAGCCTGGGTTACATAGTGGGACCCTGTCTTAAAATAATTAATTAATTAATTAATAAGCAAATTAAAATAAATAAATAAAATCAAGCCAGTGGGGACTAGAGATATTTCAACTCAAAAAATCACATCACCCACAAAGAACCCTCACCATGAGTTATGATATCAAAATCTCCCATCTGACAAGACCCTTAGCAATCTGGTTTTCTCTCCTTAGGGATCTGCATTCTATACCGGAGACCTGCATGCAGTTAACATAGAGGACTGCTCCATGTGTGTTATCTTAGCCCCATCACCCAAGCAATCCCACAGCCAGACTCTGGTGGACACAGAGACCATCATGGCCACACTCAATATCAGATCACTACGGATCAGCTCCCCTCCCCAGGCAACCTCAGTGACAGGTCAGAAAAGTCCTCTGATGGGAAGAGGCTAGGGAGGGCAGAAATAAGCAAATACTGGAGTACTTTAATTATGAAGAGAAAGAGAGGATGGGCCAGATGTCCCCTGGGACCTCTTCCAACCCTGACAAAATAGAAGTAGCCTTTGGTTATTTCCTCTAGAATTCTAAGTCAAGTGGCGACTGATACCCAGCTTCCAAATGGAATGCACATCACACTGTTTTCCCTTTTCAAGAAAAAAAAAAAAATCACAGAATTGTAAATGCTACTTTTTTTGATGCTAATGTAGTATCAATGTCTTGTTGACATTCAAGTTATAATTCATATTTCATGGTTGGGACAATAAACTGTTATTCTCTTACCCTTCAAGATGCTTTCAATATGTGAACTGCAGAAGATTATGTCTAAGGTTCCATCAAACTTCTGTAGACTAAAAAGGTCCTATTTCAGTTTCAAATTAGAAAGAGATAGGAAGAAAGAAGCAGGGATTTATTCAGGAGAGAAAGCTTGTCTTTTTCTCCTTTAGATTCCTCTCAGTACTTGAGATAATTACTATCACCTGATATATGCTTAACAAGTACCTATTGAGCAAGGAGATGAGTGAGCAGAACTCATGAAGAACTTCCACATATTTCACTGTACCCCAAATGCACCTCAGGTTAATTCCCACTATAAGATTGTATCTTATTCTTCTCCCCGCTAAATGGCAAAAGGCTTATAGATTAGTCTATTTCTAAAAATTGACAACCAGTCATTCAATCTAATATTCAAAGTGCTAATACTGAAGAATGTTCTATATCAAAAACAGATATTCAATCCAAGAAATAAAAGTATACTGTGACTGGAATCTCTTGGATCCAGCCATTTCTTTTGGAGATGTGCAATGTCTTGTGTATCAAGATTGGGTAGTAGAGGGCTGGTGGAGTGGTTCAAATGGTAGAGCATCAGCCTAGGAAGTGTGAGACCCTGAGTTTCAACCCCAGTACCACCAAAACAAACAAAGAAACAAACAAACAAAAAGACTGGATACCAAGGCCTCAGGCCACATGGCTACTGATCTATCAGCCCACCTGGCCTGGCCCTTAGGGAGGTCAGATATCAAAGGCATTTCAAGGTTCTCTGTGATTATGCCCATAGATAAAAAATGTTCACGAGTCAAGTTGGAAAATCAAAAGAATCCCCTCTGGCTCCTAAGCACTGTGGCTAGACAGGAAAATGCAAGGATCTTAGGACAAAGGAAAAAGGGAGGCTTAGTAGGTGACCTGAGCCATTTACTGGGCACACCCTCACTAAGCAACCACACCCAACTCAGCATCCAGGGTTTGTTTTGCAGAGCAGAACTAGTAACAAAGCACTTGATGAATATCAACCATGAGTAGCTTAACTGAGAAGGAGTGAGCCTTGCATCTGCTGAACAAATCTGAAGATCCAGAAAAGCAAAGGTTGTTTTATTCTGCCACACTTAGCAATTACGATCACTCAAAGTCACACTGCACACACTTGTGCAACTTTATAATTGGACAGAAAAGAAAACTTTAAAGGCAGTGTCGTATCATCCAAATACAAACAAAAACATCCATGCAAATATAAGCCTAATCTGACACCACCATAAGCCATCTAGTTAATGACATGGATGAATAGTCCTTTTTATTTTGTCTTTAAATCTCACTTCCTTTATAGCCTAGAAAGATAAACCTATGATTCTAGTATGGCTTCCTTATATCTAGTAATTTTTTTTTCATTTGCACATCAATTCATTCAGTAAAAAGATGTTGATTTTATAAGGTGTCAGGCCCTCTGGTGCCTTTAAAGTAGCACTGAAATGGTTGGGTAGACTGAGGTAGAAGGAGAGATGAGAAAAGGATTGATAAGAGGCAGAGACAAGAAGGAATGTCAAAGTACCTGAAACCTGAGGAAGTGTGAGCAGGCACTTTCCCCAAAGATAAAAAACAAAACTTAGGAAAGAATGTGCCATGTAGGTCTTGTGCCATTCCTGTGTGGGTGTGACGGAATTAATTGTAGATCCAGTCAACTCCAAGAACCCACCTAACAAGGATCATCAGGCCTACCTATCTGGCACAAAACCATTCAGTGAAGTCATGTTTTGAGCATATTTCGAAAATTAATTACTCAGAATATGAGATTTGTGTGAGAGGAAGCATGTTTGGACCTCTTGATCATTCTTTCCATTTCACATTGGAAAGAATGTTCTTGTACCATATGGAAAAGGAAATCTATCACCTCTAAGAATAGAAAGTCTAAAGGACTGTACAATTCTCCCAGGAGATAAAACACATCCTCCATACTGAGCACCAAACTACAACCAGCTACTGGGCCATTTTCTTTCCCTTTTCCTCAGCCAGGGACAGTTTTTCCCCCTGAGATCATCTGACCAAGTGTCTGAAGACACTTGGGTTGTCACAAGTGGGGGCAGGAGTACTGTTAGCTTCTAGAGGTTAGAGATAAGAAATACTGTTCACCATCTTCCAATGCACAGGACAGCTCCACAAGGTAAAGAAAGTCAAAAGCCACCAAGATTGAGAAACCTTGTCATGGCATAGCAGGTGAGGATTTTGTGGGGCTAATAGGTATTTCCACATCTTCACACCATTATAAACTTGATGTAGCCTTGGGAGTCTATCCTATCCAGAGATTCACAACAGGATGTTTGTGTTGGGGGAACAGCAGAGTAGTGACTCAGAAAAGGATTTGTAAGAACCCCAGGCCTCCTGGCCATCTCCACAGGAAACCTAAAGGTTTTCCAGTAATGTTCTAATTACTGCCCTGTCACATCACAAGAAGAACAGGTTGGCAAACCTAGGTACTGAACTAAATAATCTGTGGCATAGTCTAAACATACAACAGTAATTAATTCTGACAACTTAATACGCTACTGAAATTTAAATGTACAGTAGTAATCTACAATTAAGCAATCTTTTGTAATAGCACCCTGCCAGCCTGGAAGATTTCAGGTATAATACTGTGTACTATTAGGTAGCAAAAATATTGACACTAGCAAAATGTACCCAGGCTATGATCTGACACTTATTCAAATTATTGCTCTAGGAGGAAAGACAGATAAGATGAAAATTCTGTTGCTTTCATTTGCTGTATCAGAAACACATATTTATGCAGTCACTTTAGCCAGTGTGCATGTTTCTGTATGCAATTAGAACATTTGATTTTGAAAGTCAGGTATTCTAAGTCCTTTCACAGCAGAGAACTGGAATCAGAAAGTCTGATTCAAAGGATGATTTCCTCATAGAGAGGTTTCCCCTTTGAGGGAATCTGATCCCAATATTTTATTAAAGTGCCAGTGACATCTTGCATACTGTAAAAGAGGCACAAAATGGTATCCTGAAAAGGGCATGAGCTTTAAGTGGGTGCTAGTCAGGGTGTAAAACCCACATCCTGTATGATCTTGGCCAAGGTATCTATCACTCATCTTCCAGAATGATCTAACTGTATCTATAGACTCCATTCAGAGTTGATTTGACAGTTATATAATTCTTATCTCCTGACAGTGTCCACTGTTTATAGCTGCCACGGGGATCATTTGCAAATATTCATCAGATAATCTCAACCGATGGCAATTATAGGAAAATCACATAAGATCTTGCAGGCTGGTAGAGAGTTTGAATTCTCCTCAAATTTATCCTTGTTCATGCTGGCTCTTTCCTGTGCTAGGTCCCTCTCTGCTTGACAGATCTTTGTCATTCTTCAGGACTCTGTCCCAATGCCAGAGATGCCTCCCTTTGAGCCTTATCTAGTCACCTCTCTCACATCAATAACTAGTTCCTAAAATTTGAGGGCTTTTATGTCTTCCTGCATTATGAAAATCACAAAGATTTTTGTAAAGAAAAGCACTTTAAAGTATTCATATCCCATCAAGAGTAAGCTATGTCTACAGCCACTGATTCAGCCCTTCCTCTTAAGTCAACATTTAAATCTGGGCTAATTTTCCTCATCTAAACCTAAAGAGTTTTAGAAAATTCCTGAGATCATTCCAGGTTGTATCTATAAACCAAACATGTTGGGCTCTTCCTGTGGATCTTCTGTTTTTATCCTATACCCATGGTTCAGAACTTTAGTGGATATCAGAAATATATTCACCTCTACCTTGTGCTAACAAGAAGTGGCTCTTTTGCTGAATACTTCTTGGAAGGATGGAGGAAGTGTTAAATATTGTGGTACATAGCATTTCCTCTGGAAAAAACATCCCCTTTTGGATTCTCTCTTTTTCCCTGCCTCTACCTAAGGGACTAGATTTCCCCTTATCCTTCTTGGTCTACTCCTCAGGTGGCCTTACCCAAATTCACTCCCCATCCCAGGCTCTCTTCCCTATCAATCAACTAACTCAGTAAACAAAGGAATCTTTTAATGTTTCATCCTCTTCTAAAGCAACAGAGAATCTTACTTATGTTAGGACCCGGAATCCTATTCCCCCGAGAGACAGAGAGCCAGGCGTGAATGCAATCAACAAAGCAGAGTTTATTGGGCTGGCTAGCCAGGGTCGAGCTCCCACACGGACACGCAGGACCGGTTAGGAAAACACGACCCTGAGCCTCTTTAGGGGAAATCTTATATAGACCGCAGTGGCATGCATATTTTCGTTATCAACATTGGGCAAGCAGGCAGAGCACATCTTGCGCGTACCTCACATCTTGCACGTACTTCACATCTTGCATGTACCCCCCGCTCACATTCCCCACATTCTATATGCCCTAACTGAGCCCTGCCGCATTGCTTATCTTATCTACATGGGGTGTTTGGTACTGGTTTCTCCAACAAGGGGGTTGGGGCCCGCTGAGACCTCCTATTCCTTTCATTCCCCCCTTTTCTTACGGCCTAAATTGAGGAATCATTCTCAAGGGGATGAAGAGCCTGATATTGTTGGCGGAGGACCAGAAGTTGGATAGTATTAATTCGACTTTTGACAAAAGTCATAAGTCGGTTTAGAATCCAGGGTCCTATGGTAACAAGTAATAGGATGATTATTATTGGCCCTGCCA